GACTGTTGAACAAAAACACATTAGCCTCTCAGTTTGCTGTCTATATCCAGTCAAATAGAATATCTCTGTCCACCAAGGTATCCTGTGACCTCCGCCCAAAAAAAGAATTCTCACAAGATCTAAGTTCATCAAGCTCATGTTCCTTAAACGCCGTGTCTTTCAAAAACCAAACCAAACCAAAAATAAGAACAAAGCAAGAAAACACAGAGCCTGCTCCTTTTGCATAACCATCAATATGAAATACATATAGCACAAAGAACTGAAAATATATACTGACAAATATGCAGAGTTCCGCCTCCCATTAGAAGAGAAAATTATTTTTCTAACTCCAGTATCTTCTAATCATTGTTTTTGCAAAAATGGAAGAACACCAAGAGACAACTCTCTTGGAAGGGCTTCAAATATAATAGTAATGAAAATTATATATTTTAACAATAGAAACAACTACATAGTTTTCATATTGAACCAAGACTAGTAATCACATTATTTGATATATAATTTCAAAGCATGGAATATCATATTTATTAGTGCTTGGACACAGTAAATAATCATACAAAGATTACAGCTTTACCAAAAACAACAGTTCTTTCTTACCTAACTTTAGTTGCATTTTACTTCCACCTTCCATTGGTCTTAGCATTACAAAACTTTCTTGCTCTGAAGGAAGTTGTATCCACTGCCTAACATGAAGATAAACCTTTGGCTGCATTGATCAGAAAAGCCTGGTAACCCAGTTAGCTGGGTAGTTTGGATGAGGCTGGAGCAAAAGGGTAGAGCTGCTTTGCCTGATGGGATTGCAGTTGTTGGCTGCTTTTTTCACAACCACCTGTGCTAATTTAAGGGCAAAATGAGAAAGGCTTCTTTCATCTCTTCTTCTCTCCTAGTTTTCTCTCATTTCTGTATTTTCTTTTTTATTTTAACTCAGATGGTCTTCCTCCCATGCTTTAGTTCTGATAATTGTTAGATGTGTTTATGAACTGCTCTAATTCATTAAAATGGCAGAAAGCTATTTGCAGGACTAGGAGCAGGGCAAGAATGAGTTAGGAATTAGCTGTTTGTATCATTGGATTTTGTGGAACTCTCCACTTAGATGACTACAACACCACACCTTATTCAAATCCCATAACAGGCAAACATTTGAAGTTTTAATCACTTTTTTTAATGGTTAAAAAATAGTTAAAAATAGTATTTACTTCTGAAATCTTATTTAGTGGTTATAAAATATTAATGAGGAGTGCAAGTTTATGAAGAAGAAGGTTACAAGAAAAACAATATGTATTAACAGGAGTCACATAATTTTTCAGTAACAATTCAACATAACGTATGGAAAAAATGTTTCTGCACTTTCCTGCTGTGATGTGCATGATTAACTTAAGAATGCTGGGACAGAATTATTTGTTAAATTCTAGACACACTGAATACTGCCATCATGCCTTTTGCAGTTTATTTTTCTTTATCTCTAAGTGTACTAAAATACATTTTATATATATTAAAAAAAAAAAAAAAAAAAAAAAGAACAAGTCAACATAAATTCTTTTACATGGTGTCCTATATTCATTATTATTGTCCATGAATATTGGATTACGAAGGAATTGGTTTTCGGTAACAAATAAGGATGACGAAGTAAGAAGAACGTTATTTAAATATATTACTGACCATAAGTACTAAAAATGTAATGGTAAGAAGATTAAGGTCAGTTAAATTTGGATGTATAGTAAAGATGGAATATGTATAGATGGAGGAAAAGAAAGATTAAATAAATGGTTTATTCCATACCTCTTACAAATTGCAATTGGATTTGAAAGAGAAGTAGAGCAAAGGAAATTGAAAACCAAGCAGATAAATATTACCAGGAAAAATGCAGCAATAATTGTTTTATGAACCTCACAAGATGTTCAGAGTTATCTACACTATTGTGTTTAATTATGAAGGGCAGATAACCTTTATAAATGTTAAACAGAAACAATTTTTAGGACAAATTTTATACATAATTTCCAGGAAAAAAAATAAATCATTTATTATGCTTTCTATCAAAACGATCACATCAATAATAATTGAAAATATTAATATTTCAATACTTTTCAACATTAATTGAAAATTTTATAGTAGTTTCCCTACTGTTACAAGAATCTTTTCTTGTAGATACCATTATACCCCATAGCTGCCCATAGCAACTTTCCTATCCTGAATTCAAAAATTGAATAATATATTGCAATTGAATAATAATTGAATAATATATGCAGCACATGAGCAAAACAGATGACAGTAAATCAATTATTTAAGATGGGAGACTTTTTAATGTCATCATAAACATCACTAAAGCTTATTACCATTACATTAGATGCAACTCTCTAGCACTAACATATTGGAATTCTTCAGAAGCATTGTTTGTTCTGGTTGCATTAAGAGCAAACAATTTGGAAGACACCTATTTATTAAGTGTTTTCAAACAAAACAATGTGAGCATGTTTCTCCTGTTTCTCATTTTAAATGAACCACCTAGTCAGTGCCAAACAAGTGTCAAAAAAAGAGTCATAGAGAAGTACAAATATAAAGGAGAGGAAAAAATACACAAGAAATCAGAGGAAGGTACCTCTGAAAGAGGGAACAGATAGGGAAGGCAAAAAGGTTAAAATTTAATAACAGATACAACTAAAGAACAGAAAAAGAGATATTTTATTTTCTTCATGACAGAATAGGAAACTATTTAGCTTCCTCCAAACAATAGAAATAACAACCTGAAAATGTTGCTTCTACTCCTTTCATAGTAAGAGAGCTATTCATGCATATGCAACTCAGCAAGGCAATAAATGCAACTTCTTTATTTTTTATTTTTATTTTTTGGTAATTTAGAGGGTATATTTATGTCTTGGTTTCAGTTAGGACAGAGTTAATTTTCCTCCTAGTAGCTGGTAGGGTGCTATGTTTTGGATTAGGATGACTATTAGGAGTGCTGATAGCATCACAGAATCACAGAATTTCTAGGTTGGAAGAGACCTCAAGATCATCGAGTCCAACCTCTGACCTAACGCTAACAGTCCCCACTTGTTGCAGAGCAGTGCTTACACCAAGCCAAGGACTTTTCAGCTTCTCACTCCCTCCTGCCAGTGGGCATGTGGGGGGTGCAGCAAGAGCTAGGAGGGGACAGATCGGGGTGGCTAGCTGGGGTGGGGGAGCCAGCTGCTCAGGATTAGGCTGGGCATTGGTCAGCTGGTGGTGAGCAATTACATTGTGCATCACTCGTTTTGTACACAGTATTATTAGTAGTACTATTATCATCATTATTGTTATTATTATTATTGATATGATTATTTTCCTGTCTTAATAATCTTTATCTGTCTTTATCTCAACTCACAGGCTTCACTTTTCCGTTTCTCTCGCCCATCTCAGAGAGGGAGGGGTTTCAGTTAGGTGAGCGAATGGCTGTGTGGTGTTTAGCTGCCAGCCGGGTGAAATCACAATTTGTCATATAACTCTTCACAAATTCAGTTAGAATACCTTAGTACCTAAAGTCAGAGCTAGCACAATAGAATTAATTGCCAAATATTAAAAGTCTTTGCATCAAGTCTATCTGTTAGTCAGTAAATCCTAAAAACGTTTTCCAAAAGATATTTAAGCAAGTAAAATTTTTAAAATATCTGCTGAGTTCTGGCAGACTCTTATCAGAGAAATTAAAGAACTCTGATTTACACACCAAGCTTTGACAAAATAACAATATTGGGGAAAAAAATCATTCTTGATTAGTGGCATTTGTCTGGCTTTAAATATTGTCCAATAATTATTGTTTCCTGTCCGAAGAAAAAAGAAAAAAAAAAAGACCTACATAAGTATAGTGTATTTTTCCATTCTCTTATTGCCTGACCTCAGAGAAAAACAGGAGAATCAGCACGACTACCCGAAATCTATTAGAAAAGTTATCAACAGCTATAAATTTTGCAAGTCAATAGAATCCTTTTGAGTTCCACCAGTAACAGGTCTGATTCTTGATCCTTATTATTTATTTTATTTATTTTTCTGGTTTTAATCCAAAGATTAACTTTCTGATAACAGTTCTACTAGTCTAGCAAGGTTCATAACGTTGTTGAGAACCAACTTTGCAGCTGACCAGCAGTAAGTAGCTTGGGAATGTCATTCTGATCAGAATCATAACAATGATTAAGTGTTATCCAACTCAGATTATATTAAAAGAATTGTTTTAAGATGAATTGCCAATTTTGCTGAGGAAAAAAACCAAAACAAACAAAAAAAAAACTACCAACAGTGTAGATTAAAAAACAAAAGTCACAAACAGGATAAAAGTATGTCCTATGAACACAAAAATAACCATACCTAATAAGATAAAAGATCTGTTTAATCCAGTATCCTATCTTTGTCAATGGCTAAAAGTCTGTTCCTGATGTACTGTATCACAGAGTGATATATTTGAGTGAAATATATCACAGAGTGATATATATTGAATATATATATATATGAAATATATATGAAATATATCACAGAGTGATATATTTGGTATTTGAAACTTTTCCAGCCTCCAAATTTCTTCAGATTTGTTCCAGTGAAATGTGAGTTAATTCCAATTCAGAAATACACTTCTGGTATTCTGGTGAAAGCATATAGCAATAATTCGGTATTTTTGCAGGGATATGTAAAGAAACAGTTTTCTGACTTTTTTTCAATATACATGGGGTGTAGCAAAAACAATAATTTTCTTAAAAGTAAATGGCAGAAAGGAATAAGTAACTAAGAAACAAACAAACAAAAGTATTATATTCAAATAAAGTAATAGAAATAAAGAAACCAAATGCAAATTTGTAATGTTATCTTTTTTTTTTTTTTTTTTCTAAAACAGAATGAATCATAGAATAGCTCAGATTGGAAGGGACCTTAAAGATCATCTAGTTCCAACCCCTCTGTCATAGGCAAGGATGCCATAAAAATAATAACAATTGTAATATAGGATCATCAGTATAATACAGTATACTTCAAAATAGATGTCTTACCTCATATGCACAGTCCAACAAAGTAAGCTGATTCCTTAAGTAGCCAAGTTTGTATACACCTAAGAAGACTGAGCAGCGGATGATTTCCAGAATTCCTGCTTTGGGCCTAAGAACAAGAAATAATTCATGTTAGTGTTCTATCTTTTCTTCTTTAATAACTTGAGTGAAATAGAGAATGTAGAAATAGTCTGTGATGTCCTGCACTTGCATCAAGTCACCTCTCTTAACCTTACATTTTGGCATATGGATTTTACGTTCACCTAGAACACTAAAATTTGCTGTGAGAATACATATATGCAAAGAATATATGTGAACTCACCCAAGTGTAAATATGTCTTTTGAAAAATTACAACAGCAAAATTCTGAAAACTGCTACCTGAATAGCGCAGAATCTTTTCATAGGTCTATTTCTGTAAATTTCTACTAATTCACTTTACTAAGGCCGTTAATACAGATCTCTGGTATATTGACAGACTTTTACCAATTCTGAAATAAACTTTCAGTACATACAAGCAAAAGGTATTCCTTTCTGAGAAAATACAATAAAATAGAAAGAATAGTAGGTGCAAAAGTAGAAGTGGCGTAACAGTGAAGGTTCTATTATACATTTTTGTTTTAGCAGGACAGATAGTTTCTCTGTAGAAAATTGTTATTTACTTTTCTGTAGGGTCACAGTGCCTATATGGACTACTTCCATAGTGTACGTCTCACTGAGCTGTTGTTTTTCTTAAGCACCAATTTGATTTGAAACCATGACTAAATTTAGTCTAAAGTCAAAGATTTAGACTAAGGTCTATCCCTTACATGAGTTTGAGTCTAGTCTTAGCTATACCATGCACTTTTCATATACTGTCAGCCTATCTGTCTGCCACCCATCGTGTGCTACATGGGACACATACAGTATGTCTGAGCTTAAACAGCCTTGGGCCAGTCTTCAAGCCATTTTGGCATGCCAGAATCTCAAAACCAGAGATGATGACCCAACAAATGCTAGCAAATTTGAGCACATGAGCAGCCAGTGCTGCAATATAAATATGGCCATTAATTGCTATTGGAGTACTCCTAGTTTTACTTATTGGTTATTTGTGTTATCTTCTAGTCAACAGGTAGAAACATATATCACAGAATCACAGAACTGTAGGGGTTGGAAGGGACCTTGAAAGATCATCGGGTCCAACCCCCCTGCCAAAGCAGGTTCCTCAGAGCAGGCTGCCCAGGTAGGCATCCAGACAGGCCTTGAATATCTCCAGAGAAGGAGACTCCACAACTTCTCTAGGCAGCCTGTTCCAATGCTCCATCACCCTCACCATGAAGAAGTTATTTCGCATGTCAGTGCAGAACTTCCTGTGCTCTAACTTGCAGCCATTGCCCCTTGTCCTATCACCACAAACCGCTGAGAAGAGGTTGGCTACATCCTTCTGTCCCCCACCCCTCAGATATTTATATACACCGAGGAGATCCCCTCTCAGTCTTCTCTTCTCCAGGCTGAACAGACCCAGGTCTCTCAGCCTGTCTTCATAGGGAAGATGCTCCAGGCCCCGTATCATCTTTGTGGCCCTCCGCTGGACTCTTTCCAGGAGAAATATATGTCAGAGTACATTTATAGTTCTTTATCAATATATTTTTGACACACTTGAGATTTCCATATAATAACAAATAATGCTTAATAATAGAAGAAGAAAAAAACTTCTGTCTCTTGCCTGTTCTCCATAAGAAATCCAAAAGACGTCAGGGACAGAATGATAAAGCAAATTCTCAGCAGAATAGTTCCCTGTGATAACACCTTAAAAAAAAAAAAAAAAAAAAAAAGTAGAAAAATATTAGTTTAGACTAATTTGCTAAAGAGAAACTGAACTTAATGGAACAGCAGTTTCAGCTTCCTCACTCAGTGATGTTAATGTCCACTGACTCACTTTTGAGGAAATTTGTTTTATTTTACAAAGATTTTCAGTAACCACCTTTATAGTTGCCACTATGTCCAAAATAATACTAATAAAGATATATCCTTCTGTACTATGTGTTTTCCTGAAGTTACTTAATTCTCTTATGCCTTTGTCCAAGAGAAAACAATCATATCCCTAAGTTAAAACCACCTCAGCCCTCTTCTTTTTCTTCATCTTACATTACCGTCTTTACAATTGCTACCTACGAATCCCAATGAATACAAAACAAACAAACAAACATACACAAAAAAAATGGTGAGACTAAGAATTCAAATGATGTGACAACATAACCATATTTTAACAAGAAACAACACTGATATTACAAGAAACAACATTGTTATTGTCCCTTCGTGAAAACTCAACACTTGTTTCCCAGTTCAGCAAAACTCTTCAGTTCATACCATTGACTTTAATCACACTTAAAACTTTTAAACTTTAACATGCGTGTTAGCATTTGGACAAATAGCAGCATGAGGATTTATGTCTTTAACATATACATCTAAGTTATTTTGAAAAGCCTTTTTTTTTTTTTTCACTGAAGCAACAACAACAATACAGAACTAGTGGATTTTGCTGAGTTATAATGAATCCTTTCTAGTTTGAATAGCAATAAATTTTACAAACAGCATCTTGTACTTCAAGATTACAGGAATTGAAAAAATAAAAATCTGTGAATGTCTGCCTTAATTTCAATAAACTCCACTCTGTGACAAGCCCACTTTCCTTCAGTGGTGGCCCCTACCTCTAAAGTATCTAAAGTATCTGTGAGTGTGGGAGGCCACAGGAGAATAATCTCAAGTTTTACAGCTGTGTGAACTTACAGTGCCCATGTTTGCAAAAAACATCAAACCATGCACTCTAGCTGGGTAGGGTTCTGTTTAAAAGAAGAATCACAAGCACCTACTTGGATATCCTTAACAAATGGTAACTGAACAAAGAAAACGACATCCCAGTAACATGCACGCTAAACAGCAGTCTCAATAGTTTACAAGCCAGAACACACTTCTCACAAATGACACCTGTCAAGTCATTCTATTGCACAGATTTATACAAGGATAGATCAAATTACTGGATTGATCCACTGCAGTCCATTCCATCCTTCATTATGATAAACTTACAAAATCTCAAACTGATGTATTGTAGTCTACTTAGATGAAGACTTGGAGAAAGTCTTTTCTTACACTCTTACCCTGGGCATCTGCTATTGGTCACCACAGGAGACAAGATATTGAACTACATATTGAACCATGGGGAGACTCAATATATCACTTATGTTTTGAAATTCTTGCTTAAATCAAGAAAGCCAAAATGCTCTGATGGGTCTATACTTTTATCAACATTTTTATCGTTTGGAATACAATTTCAAATTCCCAATATAGGTTTTAAAATATTTCAGTAAAAAAATAAATTGAAGGTACTCTTTTTGAAAACTTCAGTTTCTAGAATCCAAAAATTCTACAACTCTCCTAAGGTTAAAAGACTTTCAGTTGTCAACATGAAGCAATTTGTGTTGAAATGACAAAACTTTTGGACAGTATTTTTTTTTATTTTTGTTATAAAATACAGCACAGACTCTATTTAAGTTTAATAAAAAGAGTAGTTCTTAAACTGATCATCTAGCCACAGTAAGTTCAACTCCCAATTCAGCTTCCTGTAAAAACCGGGTCATACAAAAATTCAAGAAGTAAAGCAAGCAAAGAAAAACATGATTTGGCACAGGCATAAGGGAACTCACCCATAAATTTCGTAGAAATGCTTTGTTATGTTTTTCAGTGATTGTTTCTTGTCAGATAAAAGAATTTGCCAGCCAACTGGGACTGGAATTCAAAATTTTTTCCTCTTTAGAGACTGTCCTCACTTTTCAGTTGTAGAATTGCACCTTTTTTAAAAACTAGTCCTGGCCAGCTGTGTCTTGCTTTGTGTTTCCAGTGCAATGCACTGGCTTATACAGACTGTCTTAAAAATGTCCCTAGACTGATAGAGCATTGTTCTGAGGAAAGGAACATAAAGCCTTAGGTAACAAGAAAACCGAATATCAAATACAAATTTTGAGGATGCCATGTAATTTTTGAAGAGTTGATGTAGTTGCTACTTTACAATATATGTTTAAAATCACACTTTGCAGAAAATGAATGATCTCTACAATGATTTTGAAAAAAAAAAAGTTAATGTTTGTTTTCGGGGAAGGACCCAACAGCAGCTGTTGTGAATGAATACGAGTGTCTCCAAGTTCCAGTTTTAAAAATTTGTATATTTTCACACTTTTCTGACCTTCCACTGTTTCTGAGTTGGCCAGCATTAGACAAACAGCTAAGTCCTAGGCATCTGAGTTTCCTTGTTATTCCAATTTCAGAAAACTGAGGAGCTGATTAAGTCTACCTTTCTTTATGTAACTGGAGTGCCTAAAACCATGTTATTAATTTAAGCTTCCTCTGTACTCAGTGGGAGAGTGCATTTACTGAATGATTGTTTCTTGCCATTAGCTAGAAATTAAGTATAGAGGTGAAAGTAGGTATAGCAGGCTAAACTCTCCTAGATTGAGTATTGCATTTGAGTGGGTGATAGAAACACTTCTCCAAAACAGACACATTGTGGGCATATTTTTATTGGTGTTTTCTCTCATAACTTTTTTTTTTTTCCCTAAAAGATATTTTAGTTTCCATTTCTAAAAAAGTAAGAAAACAAATAACAAAAACACAAAAGAGACTCTCAGAATTAACATCTTTTCATGAAACAATAAATATTTTTATTATTCATTTTTGATGGATTTGTATTCATTTTTGATGGATTTGTATTCATTTTTGATGGATCTTGATAAGCTTGATAACATTGACACTGTAATATAGTAATTCAGAGTGCAGCTTTCTCTCCACAATGAAATAAAGGAGCGAATTCAAGAATTTGGACCATGAACATGCAAACTTAATTTACTCTAACAGTCTCTCTAACACGTGAAAAACTACAGCTTGAAGTTATCATTTGACTCACCAAATCACAGAAGAAAAATATACACAGATTAAAAAATTGAGACAAAATGAAAAATTCAAAATTAAGTTTTAAACATGGATTAATTTCCATGATTAATTAATTTCTCAGTGTCTGGGGAAAAAAAAAAAAAAAAAAAAAAGGAACAGAAATGCATTTTAATGTATTAGAAGCAGAATAGCAGAAGAAATTTAATGTAATAGAAGCAGAAAAAAACAACTGAAATAATCTTATGATTTAGGAAAATAAAATTCAAATATAAACAACCTTTTATCTTTTAGGTTAAAATGCTATGTGAGGTTCTTTGATTATTTTGAGCTACTAGAGCCAGGTACAATCACATTATATGGATTCTCTTTTTGAGGTCAATTTCTGTTTGTCTTCCTTTTCAGACACTCACTTCAGAACCACAAGATTTTGAAGGGTAGCCTTTTATAAATTTTCTTATGGGTCTATACCATCTGTGTCTCAGAATGTGAAAGACTGAAGGAATCTAAATTGCAACCTGCAGTTATTTGCAATCTCATCGAATTCACACAAATGCATAGCAATGTAAAATCTTAGTACTGTGATGCAGTCTTTGACTTCGTAAATCCTTTGCCTTCTGAAGCCTGGAGCCTTACTGGGAACTGTGAAGGTAGAAGGTGTAAGTTACTCTTCACTATAGATACATGTATCATATTCACATGCAAGAAAAAAAAAAAAAAAAAGAAGTGTGAAATGTTTGTTCATTTGTGTCCTAGTCAAGGACTACCAAAAAAATTGTGGTGAAATACACCACAATGCCATTTGGGAGTAGGAAGAGTAGGTAAATTGTGGCAAATACAGAAAAGCTATCTGGAAACAACTGCAGTTTTGTGAGTCGGGGTTGAGTTCAAAAATCTCCATGAATCTTCCAGAATATCACTATCCATCTTTTTTGGCTAATAGGCAACATTCTTAAACTATTAACAACTAACTCATGTTTAAAATAACAAAATAAAATAATATAGATAAGATGAGATGAGATGAGATGAGATGAGATGAGATGAGATGAGATGAGATGAGATGAGATGAGATGAGATGAGATGAGATAGTGTTATAATGACAATTAGTCATACTCAAGAGTTTTGGAGATGTATTTGAATTTTGTTCTTCAGTTGGCTCTAAGCCAATGATGACTCTGGAAAGCAGATCTGGCAGCATTTTCAGCAATAGATACCTTGCCATCTAGTCTGCAGATTTACCCGTTGGAGAAAGAGAACTGCCATCACCTGAAGGATTTTTTACCAAAACACAGACATTTTGTGCAAGTTTGCAAACAGCAAACCAATCATGTGGCATAAATATCTATTTATGTTTGCTTTCCTAACTTGCTCTTTACAGTTCCAGTGATATAGTTACATACTGTCTTGATTCTCATATTTATTTTCAAATTTGTATCACCCTATGAACTGGATGCTGGCAGCTGAGACATCCATTTTCTAGGCATCACTCTACCAAAATCAACATTAGTCAGTGGATTATATCACTAAACTAAACATCTTATAATAAATCTACACACTGCAAGTTGTACTGCGAAAAGAATGTGCTTTTTACACCTTTGTTAGTACTAGCATTTTCAACCCACTTAAACATTATTTGAATGGATATATACATAAAATAAATGAATATTTATATACTGGAGTATTTGCATAAACAGAGAAGCCTGTTGTACCACAGCAGGTTCCCCAGTTATGAGTCAGCCACAACTTTGTAATGTGGTTATTGGCTGTAATCAAACAGAAAAAAATATTTTTGTTGGATTTTTATTCCATTGAAAGCTCGAAAAAATATTTTGGAGCCTTAAAAAAGAAGGAGAGTTACAGAAGTTTGGGAAGAAGTTTACATTGCTTTAAACTGACAGATTATCACAGCATATATATAAATAGAGAGAGAGAAAAAAAATAAATCCGTTTAACCAAGGAAATATGCCAGTCCAAATGTGCATTTAGATGTAAATTGAAAGATTCCAAAATGACTTTTATATTTCAAAGGACTCAGATTGTTTTATTCCTACTGAAGAATAAATAACATGAATTTAATAAATTATTTAATTAATAACATTTATTAATAAATGTTATTAATGATGTCAATAATATTATTAATAGTTTTATTTATTAATTATTTAATGTATTATTATTGACTGTTAATAATAATAAATTAAATTATTTACTAAATAATTTTCTCATCCTGTTGTCTTCAGGGGTTCAACAGAAAAAGATGTCAGGACATTTCATAATTTAGCAGATGCCCTGCTGTCATATCACAGAATCACAGGATCATCTAGGTTGAAAGAGACCTCCAGGATCATCTAGTCCAACCTCTGACCTAACACTAACAACTCCTCCACTAATCAGATACTTTCAACATTGAAATGATGCGTGTTAATACAATGCTATGGAACTTGTGTTCTTAGGTGTCTTTGTATGCATTTTATTTTAACTGTGAATTCCTTAAAAAAAAATGAATTCTTAGCAATATTACTTACATGATGCTTGGTGATGTCCTATTGATTGGATATATTAATTTTGTTCTCAACTTTCAAGAGACCTATCTTATCACTTACTAGTTTTTATCTAATTGAAACTGCTCTCATATTCATAGCTTTATAATCACAGTAAATGTTATAGTATCTATCAACAATAAAAAAAGACACTGCAAAAAGTGTTTAAGGTATACTTCACTTTGATTTATGTGATACATACAGTCCTGGAGCTATGAGACTTTTGCTTTGAATGTACTGCAGTTTTACACTCCTAGCACTCTCTCTGGGACTGATCCAAATCCCATTATTTCAATGAGCTTTGGATCAGATCTAGATGTGCAGAACTCAGAAGTATTTTTTTATTCTCTGGATGTAGTACAGATTGCTATATAGAAAATAAACACTGTATATGTTCTGCTGTGGAAAATATATATTTGTTCTTTCTTGTTTTGCTCTTTTTCTGTTGAAAATGTAGGTCATTCAGACTAAAGGTATACAGTTGCTCTTTGCGTATAGAGAAACTTAACACTTCTACAGGGCGTGAGACCAAACACTGAGCAACTGTAATCACTTGAGAAATGTAATAGCTGTGTGCTGCATCTTATGGCTATTATGAAATGGAACTTATACCTAAAAATGAGGAAAACAGTTAGCTTTCTCCATTTATGGAGCTATGCCACAGTTATGACATAATTCATAGCCAGACAGAAAGTTCCAGTTGTATCCATAGACATTTCATAATTCAGTGTAGTGGAAAACTGATATTGAAGAATGATTTTTGCCAAGTAAAGTTATTCATACACAAGCTTCCTTCTCATGACAGCTTCCTCACTGTACTCTAGAGCAATGCTGGAACTCTGCCTTGGGACCAGCACTTTTCTACACCCACGCCAATGGTTTATGTCCTGAGATGAGGTGCTTCCAGTCCCCTGTGCTCTCCTTATCCTTACTGCCTTATTTCCCCACAGTTTTCTGCAGAGAATTTTCTCGTTGTTTTGCCACAATAAGTTTATACATGGTGGATGTATACTTTTCCTCTCTGTGATTGCAAGAATTTAATGATCAGCTGGGCTTCGCTGCATTTTTCAACTTCCCTTATTACTATTCTTAAACAGCTGCAGTTATCGGCAGAGAAAATAATTTGGACCATCCATTTTTCCTTCTCAGACCACAAAAAATACAAAAGGAGAAAAGAAAGATTATGAAAAAAATCGTGAACAGACTCCTTAGTTCTTGCCATTAAAAGCAGTTTCAACAAAGTAAAGAAAACAAACAAGCAAACAACAAAACGCTTGATTTGATCCCTAGAAAAACATGACCTGCTGCTCATATGCGGGACTCTAGAAGCATATCCTGAAAATCTTGCAAAGGCTTTTCTCGATTTATGAACAGTGGAATTAAGTGTATACCCTTTTTATTTGGGAGGTATTAATGCTCACCTTTGGTTAATTTCCTGTCTTCAGAAATTTCTCAGAATAGACTAAACTTCAGATGGTTTAGTAATCTTTAAATTCCTTGCAGTTGTGGTGTGACCTTTTATAGAGATGAACATGATGTGTAGACTATTTTAATGTTAATCAGAAGAGAGTTCCTGAGTTAGCTTTTGTATTTTGTTAGCTTTCAGAATGCTACATAAAATGCTTTTTAAACATTTCTCAAAACCAGTATTGTTCTACTGCTTTGATGTGCTACTCAGAACACATCTAATCTAAATAAATAAACAATTAAGCGAATAAATAAATAAATAAATAAATAAACAAATAAGTGGCCTGCTGCCATGTCTTCCATTATTGCACACAAAGACCCTTTTCACTGCCCTTCTTGCGATGGGATGTAAGCATTTCTGAGTCAGAAACTTCAATATTCAGACAAGACTTCTGAAAACTTCCCAATACTTTGGAATACTTTGAACATGTTTAGACATGCAAAATAGACTTATTTCCAGAAATCCATCACTTGGACAGATTCAGACATGTCATTCAAGGCATCAGGGCACAGCAAAAGGAGCTGCTCCCCACACAAGCGGCATAGTGGTCAGCAGCAGTCCAGTGGGCTGGGCTATGGAGCCAAGGAAAAAGTCACAATCCAGCAAGGTAGGTAGAGGACAGTAATTGCCATTGGCCAGGGGCCAGAGATTAGTGGGAAAGCATGCAGGGATGAGGCAGGTCCATGGTCTGGCAAAGGCTGACAACCTCAGGGGGCCCTCAATGCCTTGGCTGCAGGCCTGTGGCAATGTCTGTGACACAAATGACAAAAAGACCGCTACTTAACCAAGGAGGAATTGGAAAGAATATAAGAAGGGCAAACGACATTTTATTAAATGCTTGACTTTGTGGTGGTTTTGGTAGGCTTTTGACTGATTTCAGGGATACTAGGTTTATGCATTCAAATTATGCTAGTTAACTAAAAAAATTTCCCTTTACTAAAGTAGAAAGAGTTTTCAAGGAAGAAAGAATGAAAAGGTAGTTGGAAAGGTGTGTTAATATCTCACTTCTTGTAGGTGGAGAAGGCCTTCAGAGACCACACATAGGGTAACCGTGTTGTGTTACTAGAGAGATCCTGTCAGCCCAAACCCATGGTGGGAAATATCTCCCTCTCTCTGCACTTCTGTCAATGCTGTCAATTCATTCAATACTGGAAGAGCAATTTGCCCCAAGGCAGTGGTCCACTAACTCTGAACTCATGCTGAAGATTCCTACCTGCAAGCACCACAAGACCTTTACAATCCTCCTTCTAAAGCTTGGACAATATTGGAATCCATAAATTTGACCAACTTTGATATCTTAAGACCTATATAGCTTCAAGTTTGAGATTCATGTATGTTTTTCCTTGCATGAGGTCCTAAAACCTGAAGCAGAAACATACTTTTTCCACAGAACATTTATTATTTTTAATTGAATTGCTTAAGTACATGCATCTGTAAATGGTTAATAATGTTATTAAATATTTTAATTAACATGTTAATGCATATTATTATATATTTAGTAATTTTTATTGTACTTTTTACAGAATTTATGATTATAATAGTTAATATACATGTATGATACAGGCCTTAGAGTTTCTTTATTAGAGGACTTAGATTATGCTTTATTATTTAAATATGAGACATATGTCATGAGACATATTACTGTCAGCATGAGATGGTATTACTCAAAGATATGAATTACTTACAGATATGAATTACTTACAGTCACAGTAGCAAGGAGGTCAATATACAGCTCCATTATCACTGCAAAATGCACTACTGCATAGCAATTTAGGTAAGCTGGTACTCTTGGGTTGAATGGAACTTCTTTTCCAGTGACCTGTATGAAGCAAAGCAGATCATGATGAAGCAAAGCCTTCATAATTGACACAATCCAGTCTGATATTCTTTAGTATTCTTTATAATTACAAACACAAAAGGGTTAAGGGACATAGATAATTGCCCAGAGATAATCTACCTTCAAATTTATGTAATACCTAGCATGCAACAGTGTTTAAATATGTGTGCGTGTATGTTCACAGCTGAAAGAAAAAGATAAATTATCTTACTCCGTAGAACTATTTTGCAAATCTCTTTAGGAAATGAATAATGAAAAGATAAACGAGAAGATATGTTTTTTCCTTAAAATAAAATAATAGTAGTAGTAATAATAATAAAAAGTAAAACGTTAATTTCCTTCAGTTTCTTTTCCCATTTCATCTTCCCTTATGCCTTATCACTGATAATTTGCTAATTTAAAATAGCATGTGTAGAGTTTTTAACATTGATCCACTAGCATTAAGAGGTCCAAGTAAATTACACAAAACTGAAAGCCTCTGCATGTTATATTTACCACTGGGATTTCCTCAGGAAGGCCAAGTCTAGGTTTGCCTGGTCCCCAGCCTGGCCCTTTGAATAAGACAGAAAGCTTATTGCAAAATCCAGGTGTGGCCCAAAATGTGTTCCAAATATGAGCCAAGGGACGTAACTGAAAAAAAAGAGCAAGTGATTTTTCATTGTTAGTAAAATAAAATTTAGTAAAATGTTGTATTTTACTCATTCTTAGCTTTCAAATAAAAGGTTTTGAAAGTCTGTAAAGAGAATAAATTAAAAAAGAAAAGTTCAGAAAACCTGACTGAAATAGGCAGGAGCTGTATCAGGCCCTTGACTTCTGCTCAGAGGAAAATTTCACTTTCTTGTAAGCAATACATTGTATTTAATGGCATTTTTTATAGCTCTATTTATGGTGGTTTTAAAGTAGAATTTTGTTACTGGGACCTTGATATGATATACTCTTGATTCCTAAATTCCTTAGATTCTGTCTGGATCGTATATAATTGCACAGACTGTGGCCATCCTTCCAGCTTCCATCCCAGACACCACTTTGGGTAGAATCTCATTCATTGAGATACCTCATGGGGTATGAAAAGTCCCCATGAAGAAAATTGGGACTTATTTACTCCTCAGTCCCTGAGGTTTTTATGGAGAATTTTTACCCAGCTGAAGAGGAGCCTGGACCAAGAAATCCACCAAGAAACATCATACTAAGATTTTTTTTTCTTCATTTTTAAACTGCGTTCAAACTGTGTTACAGCTTTTGTTGAAACCATGATATATAATGCTGTCAACACAAATCAGTCTGTAGTATCTTGAAGAGGAAATATTCAATATAGATAAAAATAGATAGTAAAGATATCACACCATGGGATTATTTATGAAATAGTAGTATTTAGAGAAGACATAAACAACAGACTTTTTTTTTTTTTTCCATCTGTGCTTCTCTGCATATTGCTTTGTGCATGGCAAAATGGACATCATTCAGTGGGTAAATCACAGACCTGTTACATCTCCCTCATAATTAGTTAATAATTTTACAGTATTGTACTTCAATTATGGCTCTACATGATCTATATATGTTCAATGCAGCGAGTGGAAATACTTGTTTTTTGTAATGAAATAATTATGATTAATAAATGAAGATAGATTAACTGACTTGTGCAGCAATGCAGAGTTAACCTCAATTGTGCCTAAGAGAGGAGTTTTTTTGAACATCAGTGGCTGTTGAAAATACCAGTCAGTGATACAAAGTGATACAAACTGCACCTGGAGCAGAATGGGTTCAAATGAATTTACTGGATGTGTTAAGCCATATACAACTTTAGCATCTTCTGCTTCAAATGTTCCTGAAAAAAAAAAAAAAAAAAAGAAAAAAAAAAAGAAAAAAAAAAGAGCAACAAACAATCAAATTAAAAGTATACTTATTTTTGTTTGACAAACTAACTAAAGATAAGGAAGAACATTTTTGTTTGTTTGTTTTACCTACCAAATATCCTGTCCCAGATAATGAGTGTGCCACCATAATTTTTGTCAATGCAGTAAGGATTTCTGCCTGTAATGAAAATCATTGGCAAGTCATTCCATATATAAGAATATGTGTGACTGAAATATGAATGGAAATCGTAGCATCGACTTCTAGTCTAGTTTTAAGTTGTAGTAGGTTAGCTACCTTTTATGTGTCTATAAAATGTCTTTTTTTCTTATTAGGCATGTAATCTCTTTCTACTCAGATTCAAATACACAGATCAAATGTGTCATATCCCAAATTTCTGTGAAATAAATAGATTTATTTGGAAAGTAAATTTAGCTAAAATATATATTTAGAAAAGGAAAATTGAAGAGCAAACAAAAAAATCACCTCATCAATTTATACCTAAGCATTTATACCTAAGCAAATATATACCAGATATATTTATGCACAATCATCTCATTAATGGCTTTCGTCTGTCCATGTTCTATGTCATGTGTCTGATCCTGTCTTTATTATTAAATTCAGGATGATCCCTTTTTGCTAGGGGATGCATCTGTATATGAGCCATCCTACCAAAAGAAAACCCTCACTGCTTACACTGCTTAAATACCCCCAACTTTGTGGAGTTTGTTTGGAACAACTGTACAACACTTGATCAGCTCTGGAGTGATTCTGCTCAACTCTGATCGGGATCAGGCTCAGAGGATTAGTCTGGATTTACAGCAGAGCAAACAAGAGCAGAGTGTCTCCCTCCAGGATTACCAGTACTTGTGCAAATTTTAAGGATTAGACACTTACAGCACCACAGTCTTTTTAAAAAGTCTACAGTGCCATAAACACTTTACATGGAGGATATAATAAATATTAATAACATCCTCTGTACATATGACTGCATTTGAGTCTGTTTCAAATTATTTTACTCTTCCATGCTACTATTACATTTCTCCTTGTTATCTATGCACACTGAATGAGCTAATGGCATCTATGAAACCCACTCTTATTCCACAGCTATGTTCATGGCATTTTTATGATGCATTGGAATTTTTAATCAAATTTAGATGTTTCGTACTGTCTTTAATGGTTCTGAATATTGATGGAAAGTCATATCAGCTGTCATGTACAAGTGTGAAGTGATATTTTTAAAAAATTCAGACAGTTGGAACTAAATTCCACTAAAACATTAAACAGCTCTACTTCAAAAAGAAAAACATATTTTTGCATATTTAGTGTTTGAATTTGAATGCAAGAGCATCTGTTATTGATCAACAAGATGATCATGTTTTAGCAGTCAGGGAAGTTGAGATATTTTTCTATCATTTCTCATATTTGCAAGTGTTTAACTACTTTGTTCAAAATCTTCAAATTATCTCATGTTACCTAGGTTTAATTTCTGCTTAGTAATTTATCTCAAATGTAAAAAACACGTACCATGATGAACTCTGTGATGACTGGGCGTGTTAAGAATCCACTCCAAAGGACCAATATTGGTGATAACCTGGAAAACAAGTAATGTTTATATAAGTTTGAAAATACTGTATAAAATCAATAGGAAAGAGGAAAAGAGGAGGATGAAAGGCGTATAGAAGATGTTTATCTTTGGGAGACTTGCCTCAGAAGGTGAGAATGCAAATTTTTTGCCTCAACCTTTTCACTGTGTGAGCTAGAAGAATTTTCAGCAACAAAAAAAAAAGTGAAATCTAGTTAAATAAAAGTTAAAATATATACATATTTTCTTGATCAAACATCATATTTTCTTTTTATATTTTATTATTAGTTCATGATTCTACACAAATCACTTCACTCACAATATTTATCTATATCCATTGGCACTGCTCAAGATCCAGTGTGACTGTTTAAGATGTGAACACTCTGCCTCACAAAATGGCTGGAACTGACCTAGAAACAACCACTTCTTCTTCCTTCAGTACCTTTGATTACTTGTCAGTAGCCTTCCTTTACTCAAGCAGAAGCAGCACAACAAACCTCACTAGGGAACTGATACATTTTTTTTTTTTTTAAATTGGTTTAACTGGATCAGTTCCTGAATCTGATCCAATATATGATCACAAATACTCACATGAGCTAGAGGCATAAGAAGCAGCGGCAACTGAGACCAGTATAAATTCATAGTGAACCTGCAAGCTAAGTCAATGATTCAACAGACAGAAATCCAGCCTTGATCCTTTTAGACCAGAAAACATCTATTGCCATAAACTCACTCCAATGATTCAAGCATTGTCATAAAATGCTGATGAGTTAAGTTTGTATGAGCAGGGTTTTGTGCTAAAAGGTATTCGCCTGTATTATGGAGCCAGAGGAAAGCTAGCATTAACTTCAAATCTTTTGCTTTGGTTAGCTCAATAGAAGTGTGTGGATACCCAGACGTAGCCACTATTCCTTAATCCAAAACACAGAACCATCAGTTAAAAATAGATGCAATCACTGGATGAGTAAAAAGTGTTTGTGGTCAGAATATATCACAAAATGGCATCTATTTGCCATGTCTGGTTATGACCATAATGTCTTACAGTTAAAAGAGAAATAAAATAAAATAAAATAAAATAAAATAAAATAAAATAAAATAAAATAAAATAAAATAAAATAAAATAAAATAAAATAAAATAAAATAAAATAATAAAATAAAATAAAATAAATAAAATAAAATAAAATAAAATAAAATAAAATAAAATAAAATAAAATAAAATAATAAAATACTTACACACTTATACCTTAGAAAGCAAAGCAGAACCTACCACTTAATAAATAATAATTATAATTTTAATACTCATTCTGTAGAAATGAATTATCTGTAATACATAAATAGAGATAATATTGGCAGGTAACACATTAAGTAGATAGGCAGCCACTCATTACTCATGAGAGTAGGCCTGTTCTTTTAAATAACTAAACATACAAAGATTTTATTCATATAAAATTTACTGATAAAAGTTCTAAAAGATACCAGTTCCATTTCTGTCTACTTTCAGTTCCACTTGTGCAAGTGAAAGTAGATCTGAACTCAAAAAGTAGACACAGGACATTTCATCACATGAATTTAAATCTTTGTGAATAAAGCAAATATAATAATTAAATTAATAAACAATTTTGTTTATATTTGTCTTTCATAACATAAAAGTAACTTCTAATTATCAGGTTAAGCAGAACATTTCTGTAAAGAAAGGAGTATAGAAATGAGAAGATTCTTCAGACAGAGAGAACTGTAACATCTGGAGCATCTGTCTCAAAATCCTGCACACATTGGCTGGAAAAGCAGAACACTGGGACAAGTTTGTTTTGTTTTGTTTTAATCAGAAGCCAAGGACAACATAAATAGGGCTGTTTTTATTTCTCAGTACTCCCTCAAAATAAGTTCAAGCTTTAAAAGACCACATAAAGGTGAGAAACAATTCATCATTCACGCTAGCTTAATTTCCCTCCTCTCTCAAGCAGAAAATCCCACTGTTTTGTATGTGAGATGTAACCACTAAATTAATTTAATGAGATTAATGTCTTAGAATTAACTACAGTCCAACACCTAAGAGAATGAGGATTTATCTCTGACTACACCTAACTTTGACCTATTTGGTTTCAGTATATTTTTAGCTAAATATTTAAACAACGTTTGCTTGGTAAAAATAAACTAAATCTGTGCCAGGAGTGCAGAGAATCACTAAGAGACAGCAGTCTTCACTTTTAGCCTACCAGTAAATTATAATAAAATTTCCTCAGAATGAATGCCTTGAAGTATTCAATATCCACCTGATTAATTTCGTATTTTAAAATTAAAAGTCATTCTTTTGAAAATCCATATAATACTTAGGTATGATAAAGTTAAACTTTACATTTTGAGCTTCCCTGAAGATCTCTGGAGTTTTAGTACAATTTTAAATGAATACTTCTGGCTAATCCTAGAGAAAGCATTTTCTTTGGAAAATGCAATGTATCTCATCCACTTAAAAGTGAAGAGCCCACCATACAGTCTTTTCTGGGGGTGGTGACAATTTTAAGTCTCCTGAAACATCTTCCCTTCAGCATCATGAGTGATTGATGCCTGGGCCCACTTTGGTTCAGCAAGGTTACCTCCATTAAGCGACATATTAGCCACATAGTGATAGAAATATTGCCTGAGATAACAGTGATGACCACAGGACTTTTAAGATCAGAGGTGGCACAGTACTCTGTACCTGACAAAAAAAAGATCCAGCATGTTGAAATTAGCAATACAGAAATCAATACTTTGGCTAAAACACATCAAAAATACATTTCCACCAGGTATTTAAAACGGTACGGGATGCTATTTCTAGAAATTTTCTTTGCTATCAGTAAGTTTACTCCTATATACTTTGAAAATTTCTAAAATAGAAGAAAAAAGCTGTTATAACTGAAAAACTTCTGGTTCCAAAGGGCCGTAATTCATTCCAACAAGGAGAAATATATCACCTCTGTGAAGGTGGATTTTGAAGCCTCCTACAGCACCACAATGTGAAGATCATTTTTGTTGATTTTCGTTGAATTTTTCCATCTTCTACCATCTTACCCCAGGTAGAACTCCTAGAGCAGATCCTTCATCAGAGTAAATTGTGAAGGGTAGGATAATAAGACAATTTTTGCCAGGGAAGATTCTGTGCTCTATGACCCTGTTATGTGAGGCTAAAAGGACTGAAATCACAGTGAAAGGACTGGACTTTGTAGGGATTCACTCAAAACAGGATTTAATGTGGTGTAACAACAATCCACGTAAAAGCTTTGTTTCAGATCATTTTACCGGAAACTAGTTTCAAAATTAAAAAAAAAGTATATTGGAAATGTCATCGCCCCATATCCCTATTGACTTTACTGCAAATCCTATTCATACTATTGAAAGAAAAAGGAGTCTACTTGTGAGTATAAAATACTCTTGTCTATATCAACATCTTGCAGTTATCTTAGGAAGACAGAAAAACAACTATCAATAGCCCTAGAAATTGAAGTACCTCAACTGTTGTCCAAGTATGATTTTATCAGTATTTTGACTAATATGGCTGGGGGAGGTGGAGAGAGGGGCTATGCTTGTGTTTGTCTCCTAGATACAGACACCTAGTGTTCTAAATCAAGCCCTGCCTCCAATTTTTCCTCTCAGTTAACACATCATGTGCACCTCAGCTAGTATGCCAGTGACCCACAGATGAACTGCAGCATTCCTGCAAAACTCTTTGCCCATTTGCTTTGTTTATGTTTTAACATCCCATAGCCACTAAATAAATAAATAGAAAATAAAAAATGACAAAACCTTACAAATAGATTTGATAAAATACCTGTGAATCTGATAGGTGTCTTATGTAAATCACTCATAAAAGCCCTATAAGATCTCTCCTGAAAACATATTCCTCCTTTTTCTTGAAAAATATTCCTCCTTTTTCTTGGAAAAACAAACAAACAAACAAACAAAAAAAACAGGCAACATATTCCTACATTATTACACTGAGGTATTTCTAAACAATAAAGCAGAATTATTATGAGAACACTTGTAGTGATTCCAAGAGCAGTTTGAAAAACAAGACAGGATAAAATCTGCAGCCTTAGAAATTTTTCCACACATTACTGCATAAAAAATGTCGGAAGTCAAATCTTCATATATAATGAGATCTTCATATATAATGAGAAATATTTCTTTCTATAGTAGTGTTTCTTGTATAAAGATGTTTCCTTTGTGACAGCAATCCCTAACATAAAGGAAAAGAACATTATGCGATATCTCTTGCAGCATGTAAGCGCCTCCATTTGCGGTCTCAGAGTTTGTCAGCACCAAGGGAAATCTATATTGCCTGGTACCTGCACCACTTCAATGTAGTTCTTGTTTAAATAATGAGAAAAAATCATGACATGAAATCCAAGGGAAACTTTACATCTTGTGTAACAACTCCTCCTGTCACCACTGCAACATGAATCTTTGCTTAACTCTCTTTCAACATGAACGTTAGGAAGGAATGTCGTCTGAGTAGAGCAGGCAATGTTACAGTAAAACCACTGCTAAATAAAAACTTTTTTTTTTTTTTTAAGTATATGAAAAGCCATTTGTAGCAGAGCATGACTTTCAATATTGTAGTGTAACTGATCTCTAGGACAGGAGAAGACAAATTCATCACTTGAGCATCACTAAGGAGCACTCTGAACTTAACTTTGGGGTTTTTGCTAGACTAGTTGGTAGTAAAACAGGTATTAGAATTATTTCCTCATCAAAATCCAGATAAGATTTTTATTCTCAGTACATAAATCTGTATTTCAGACAGTCTGGTGGGGAAATTTAAAAATAAGACCCTAATAACATTCCTCAATAGAGCTGCTGTGTTAATTCAGGACAACACACATATTTATACAGATGGCCCTCGTGATCATATTTGCCATGTGAAATCTCTACAGGGAAGCTAGGGAAAGGCAGAACTCCTAGGATATGTGCTCATCTGCCCAGTTTCACACTTTGAAATCTTCGGCAAACCCTGATTTATACACTGCCAA